GGAAGGAAGGAAGGAAGGAAAGGGAGGGAGGGAGGGAGGGAGGGAGGAAGGAAGGAAGGAGGGAAGGAAGGAAGGAAGGGGGGAAGGAAAGGGAGGGAGGGAGGGAGGGAGGGAGGGAAGGAAGAAATGGTAGAGTATAAACACATGGGCATCTCCCATCCTCTGGGAGAAAGGCTGGGAGAATGAAGAAAACAACAGATCTCAGACAGTCCAGGGGTGGGTGAGAGCCCCATGAGGGTCCATGTCTAGAACAATAGTAGAGGCAGTAAAGGATTATCCTTCTGTGGGACCTACCCCAGAGGCAGCCTGGAGGGAATCTGTGACTTGGAAGGTTCCCCTGCCAAGGTCCCTCCCTAGGGCAGCTGGCCGTCGCCTCCAGACCAGGAAGCAGTCAGTTATGGAATGTATTCCAGCAGGATCTGGCGAGCGGCACATCATTCACTTGGAGAAATTAAACCACTGTGTGTGTGTTTTATTATAAATTAATTATGTATAATCCATTGTATAATTCATTATTGTATCTCTAACATAACTCAGGGTGTTGCCAAACAGCCTGGAGCTGCGAGAGCTGGTGGCAGGCACGCAGGAGACAGACGAGAGTGGCCAAGGAGGTGGAAGAACTCCATCCTTTCCTGACGTGAGCCAGGGAGACACTGAGAACGCTACAGATAGCACCACCCCGAGCTGCTGCCCGCAGGCTTAGAATCAGAACGCTGAGAGTGTTCCAAAGGCTCCCCTGGGACAAGGCCCACAAGGTCTGCACAGGCAGCCCCGCAGGCAAGGCGGTGCCTTCCTGCCTACAGAGGGCGGCACACCTCTTCCTGATGGAACTTTTCCTGCTGGCTTGTCAGTGTGGCTGGCAGCCAAGAGCAAGGCAGAGTGAGGCTGATGTCTTAATGAAGAGAAGACCTGAAGACTGACTCCCCAGATGGAGACAGACATTCCTGCCAGCAAAGGAGCCTGCTCCAGTTCACGACCCAGAGACCAAAAGGAAGGGCCCAGGCACTGTCTACGGAGCCAAACGTGATTCAGAAGCCTTCCTAATGCCTCGCTGGGGAGGCTGTAGAGAGACGCGGGGCAGGGCTCTAACTGCAGGGCAGAAACTAACCTCAGCGAGCCTTCCTGGGAAGAAAGTTCTCGTAGGTGCTTAGAGGGCACATGCTGGGTGTTGCACTATCAGAATGAGGTCAGTCCCAATTACAGAGATGTCTGAGCACAACAGCAGCATCTACTGGGCTGTCTAGTCGCTAAAGGCAAACACATCACTCCGAGAGTTCTGCAACTTGGCAAGAAGTTTGGTTGCATAAAGGAAACTCATAATTGGATTAATGAGCAGCTGGGGTGGGGTGGGGGAATGAGAAGCTAAAGAGTATTTAACAACCAGGTTAGCCATGCCGCAATGTAGCGTGATCTGAAGGTCACAGGACTTTTCAAGGTATGAATTCTATTGTAGGGATGGCAGATGAGTTTCAACTTGACAGAAAAAACTTGACTGGCAGTGGCTTGAAAGAGTAATGTGATCAGCTTACAACATCTGCAATCAATGGGCATGAAGGAAAGACTGGTATTGGGCCTGCATTCTAGAAGCTGTTAAGTTCCTCCCAGGCACTACTACACTTGCAGTTTGGGTCACTGCCACCAGGGAGGCAGGTCCTATTAGGGTAATATAAGCATCTGGTAGAAGTTTTCTAACGAAGGCCACGAGGGGCAAGAACCGTGATCCAGCCTCTTGATTTTTACCTTTGTTTGAAAAGTAGAACTTTTAATTAAAGGAGACATCTGAAAGAAATAGCTCCTCTGTGTTATCCAGTTCCAGATAAATAACCTAAAGCAAGATTAAACAGAAATAATACACCTGTGGGATGACCTCTGTTTTGCTTGGTGACCTTGAACAAGTCACAGCCTTGCTGGGTCCCAGCTTGATTCTCCAAAATGAGGGTCTGGGAGTAGATCTCTAAAGGTCCTTTCCGGCTCTAAAATTCTATGATGAATTAAAGGATTCCTTTTAGAAGCAGACCTTCGGCAGTTTTTCTTCCCAGCTTCTTCTATAAACTTCAGACCAACCTGTGTGGTTTTCCTTTCTGAGCATATTAAACATATTTTGAGCAAAACAGCTATTCAGCAGAGCTCTGTAGCAGTTCCCTTGCAGGGGCCAAGGCCAGACAGGAACGTGCCATCATTAGTGTGGAACCGGATGCACTAGGCACGAGCAGACCAGTGGACGGCCTCCCCCGGGGGAGGAGGCTGAGAGTGGAGGAGGGAGAGCAATTCCTTTATATTTCATTCTTCTGACATGCCAAAGGCTCCCAGGGCTGCTCAGCACCAGCTGAAAGTTAGAGGGTCAGCCAAGGGCCTGCTGGGAAACAGTTGTGGTGGGAAACTTAGGAAAAGGCCTGGTAAATATCCACCCTCTAGCTCAGGGCTCAGATGAAGGAAATCACTGAAATGCCCCTCTACACTCTGGCTACTCAGTGGTCGCCAGACCAACGGCATCGGCATTAGCGAGGAGTTTGTTAGAAATGCAGAATCTTGGGCCCTACCCCAGACCTAATAAATCAGAATGTGCATGTTAACACGATTTCAGGTGATCTGAATGCACGCTAAAATTTGAGAAACATTGCTCAACCTTAGCTGTACGCTGGAATCACTTGGGGAGCTTTAAGAAATACCGTTGTCTGAAAATGATTTCTTGGATATGACACCAAAAGAACAGGTGACAGAAGAAAAAACAGATTACATGGACTGCATCAAAATTTAAAACTTTTGGGGACCACAGGACACTATCAATAGAGTGAAAAGGTAACCCATGTAATGGGAGAAAATATTTGCAAATCATATATCTGATAAGGGATTAATATCCAAAATATATAAAGAAGTCCTACAACTCAGCAACAACAACAAAACAATCCAATTCAAAATGGGTAAAGGACTTGAATAAACATTTCTCCAAAGAAGATATACAATTGGTCAATAAGTATATGAAAAGATGCTCAACATCACTAATCATTAGGGAAATGCAAATCAAACCCACAGTGAGATAATACTTCACACCCATTAGAATGGCTATAATCAAAAAAACAGGAAATAACAATTGTTAGTGAGGACGTGGAGAAATTGGGACCCTTACGCATTGCTGATGGGACTATAAAATGGTGCAGCTGCTGTGGAAAACTGCTGTGCAGCAGTTCCTCAAAAAATCCAAAAAACAATTACCATGTGATGCAGCAATTCCATTTCTGGGTATATACCCAAAAGAATTGAAAGAGGGGACTGGAACAGATATCTGTATACCCAAGTTCGTAATTGCATTATTCACAGTGGCCACAAGCAACCCAAGTGTCCATCAATCCATATGTCCAAAGTGTGGCATGTACATACAATGGAATATGATATGCCTTAAAAAGGAAGGAAATTCTGACACATGCTACAACATGGATGAACCTAGAAGACATTATGCTAAGTGAAATAAGCCAGTCATAAAAGACAAACACTGTATGATCCCACTTATACGAGGTACCTGGAATAGTCAAATTCATAGAGGCAGAAAGAAGAGTGGTGGTTACCAGGGGCTGGGGGGACAGGGGAGTGGGGAGTTAGTGTTTCACGGTTATGGAGTTTCAGTTTGGGAAGATGAAAAGTTCTGGAGATGGATGGTGGTGATGTTTGCACGACAACGTGAATGCATTTAATATCACTGAACTATACACTTATAAATGGTCAAAATGGAAGTTTTATGTTATGTATATTTTACCATAATAAAAAAATACTGACGCCTGGTCTCATCCCAAGATATTCTCACTCACTTGGCAAAGGACGCAGCAGGGGCATCAGAATTTTAAAAGCTCCCTACATGATTTTAACATGTTGCAAAATTTGACAATTTATACCAGTGCTCCAGTGCTGCTCAAACTTTAATATGTACATGGATCACCAGGTGGTCTTGCTAAAATGCAGATTCTGATTCAGCTGATCTGCAGGAGAGCCCAAGATTATATATTTTGAACAAGCTCCCATGTGATTCTGATCGTCCTGGTCCATAAACTACATGTTGAATAGCCAGGGTTAAGAAACCATACTATATGCTATAGTGATTCGTTCAAGAAACTTCTCCTCTGCCTCTAGATCTAAGGGTCTGAAACCAATCCTAGGGCCATACAATCCTCAGGGCTGCAGGCTCGGTTGATCATTAGATACTCAAAGTACTAGCTATCTTCAGCTCAGTCGAAGTACCACAATTGATAGGGACTGACAAAGAGGGATTCTGACTCTAATTTTTGCAAAGAATTGAGAAGAAGGAAAGGGCCGGAACTGGAGTGGGGGGTCAGGTCTAGTAGACAAAAGATAGCTACCATTAATGCCCAGAGACTAGAGAAGACGGGGTATGGGCAGGAATTTGCAAGCCAAGATAGAGATGCATGCCAATGTGTTCCCCCAAACCATCGTGGTGCCCAGTACTAGGAGGCACTCAATTAACATTTGTTAAATGGATGAAGGAATAAGTCCAAATGATAATGTGAATCAG